AAAAAAAAAGGTTTCAACCGTCGTTCTCTTTCGGTGTCAGTGACTTTCCCCTCTCCTCCTCCTATTCCCTCCCTTTCCCTCTCAACTTCTGCTCAGGAACGGACCCAGCAAGGAACTACCGAGTAGGGAAAGGTACATCTGTTTTTATTTTTATATTTCTGCTACAAGGATGACTTGCAAACCTTTGCAAAGGATAGAAACAGTGTAGACATAATAATAATTTTTTCTTTTCTTTTCTTATTAGCCTGAAATTCGTGTCACTGATATTGGAAACTTTTTTTTCTTTCTTTTTGAAAACATTAGAAACTTTACCTTGGACTAATTATGTGCTACATCAATTTTGAGTTGATAAACACGTGATCAACCATTTTTAGATTCTTGGTTTAACCATTAATATCACTAGTTAAAAAAAAAAACAGAAGTTAGCGAAAGAAAATCATTACTGGAGAGGGAAAGAGAGACATAGAGAAAGACCTGAGTTCCAGGGATTTTGGGAGAGAGAGGAGCAAATGGGTCTTGGATTTGAGATAGCTTATTGCTATTGCCATTAGGATTGGGTTTGTTCTTGTTCTTGTTCTTCTTTGGGTTCAATCCGACGGCCGTTATGGGCAAACGAAAAAAGTATTAAAAAAAGTAAATATTGTAAATTAATAAGTTATGGATTCAATTTAACCTTGTAGTTTGTTGCATATGGATGATTTGTAGTTCTGCTTCTGTGTTTAATTGCCATAATTGCCAGGCATGAAGCACTGCTCGACTCAGTTTTGAACCGCTGCTCGACTCCCTTAGTGCATTAACCAGCTTGTCCAAGATGCTTCCTTGCATTTTTCTGACCTTCAATCTTAGCCGTCCAGCAGATCGTGTAGCCAGCAGCCACAGAAAGTGACCCCTGGTTTTGGTTGCTTCCAGAAAATTACCCTCTGTCCACACTGAAACGTTCGAGGACCTTGACCTTGACTTTGGGTAGTTCAATAACATATTCATCTGCTGCTCAAGGCCAAACCACTGCCCAGAAAAAAAATTTAATTAATTATGAAATAACTTCTTCTGCTCAAGTCGGATCGGAAGGCCAACTTGTGCATAATTTGTAGTTGGTCTGATCTGAACCAGTATCAATTAATGGATGCCAGGAAAGCCCATAATGCCTCCTCTTCATCCTCACCATCCTCCTCATCAAAACGTTGGGATTACCAAGTGTTCTTGAGCTTCAGAGGTGAAGACACACGCAAGGGCTTCACAGGCCACCTCAACGCCGCATTATCTAATGCCGGAATCAGCGCCTTTCTTGACGACAACGAGCTAAAAAGAGCGGAATTTATAAAAACCCAACTGGAGCAGGCAATCGACGGGTCCATGATCTCCATAATTGTCTTCTCCAAGAGGTATGCCGATTCCCGTTGGTGTCTTGACGAGCTGGTGAAGATCATGGAGTGTAAACAAAGATTGGGGCAACAGGTTATTCCATTGTTCTATAATGTTGATGCTTCAGATGTCCAGGAACAAACTGGTAGTTTTGCACAAGCATTTGAGAAACATGAAGGTAAACACGAGAAAGAAAAGGTACAGCGATGGAGAAAAGCTCTCACTCAAGCAGCAGATTTGTGGGGGGAAGATCTTAAAAATGCTGATGGGTAATTACTAATTTCTTGTTCCTTCGATTATCATCTCCTTACTTGACAACCATATGTTTTCTGTCCTTTTCGTTTTTGTTTTTGTTTTTCCCTCTATGTTTTAACTATGGTTTGGTTTGGTTTGGTTTTAATTATCCATTCGTTCTTACTCGATAATGTAAGATCCATTTAACATTTGATGTTAAATCCCAACCTTAATTGTTAATTATATCTTAATTCTAAATTATTAAGTTAGGGATTCAATTTAACCTTGTAGTTTTTTCTGCTTCTGTGTTTAATTTCCAGGCATGAAGCAAAGTTTATCAAGAAAATTCTTGGGGTGGTTAATAACTTGGTGAACAGAAACTACCAAGTGTTTTTGAGCTTTAGAGGTGAAGACACACGCAAGGGCTTCACAGGCCACCTCCACGCCGCATTATCTGATGCTGGAATCCGCGCCTTTCTTGAAGACAACGAGCTAAAAAGAGCGGAATTTATAAAAACCCAACTGGAGCAGGCAATCGACGGGTCCATGATCTCCATAATTGTCTTCTCCAAGAGGTATGCCGATTCCCGTTGGTGTCTTGACGAGCTGGTGAAGATCATGGAGTGTAAACAAAGATTGGGGCAACAGGTTATTCCATTGTTCTATAATGTTGATGCTTCAGATGTCCGGAAACAAACTGGTAGTTTTACACAAGCATTTGAGAAACATGAAGTGGGCATCTGTGAAGGTAAACATGAGAAAGGAAAGGTACAGCGGTGGAGAAATGCTCTCACTCAAGCTGCAGATTTGTGTGGGGAAGATCTTAAAAATGCTGACAATGGGTAATTACTAATTTCTTGTTCCTTGGATTATCATCTCCTTTAAAATGCTGATGCATTCTTTCTTACTTGATAATGTAAGATCCATTAACCTTGTAGTTTGTTCCACATCGAATGATCCGTAGTTCTGCTTCTTTGTTTAATTGCCAGGCATGAAGCAAAGTTTATCAACAAAATTCTTAGGGAGGTTAATAAGCAGTTGCACAGCAAACACCAATTAGACAACGAACACCTTGTCGGAATTACTTCTCGGGTGAAGGTTTTGAGTAATCACTTGGATATTGAAAATTCAGGTTCTAAGGATGTTGTTCGCATGATTGGTATTTTGGGGATGGGTGGCATTGGAAAAACAACGCTTGCCAAAACCCTTTATAACAATTTTGAACGTATCTTTGAAGGTCGTAGGAGTTTCCTTGCAAACGTGAGGGAAGTAATTGCACACCAACCCATTACTGGTCAGGTTGGTTTGCAAGAACAACTTCTAAATGATATCTTGAAAAGCAAGGACCCCATAAAGGTTGATTCTGTTGCTAAAGGGATCGATATGATAAGAGAAAGACTTTGCTGTAAAAGAGCACTTGTCATAATTGACGATGCAGATGATCTACAGCAATTAAAAGCAATAGCTGGAGCTCGTGATTGGTTTGGTCCTGGAAGTAGAATTGTTATAACAACAAGAAATAAACATTTGCTAGACCAAGTTGGAGTGGATAGCACATGTATGGCTCAAGAAATGGATGAAAAAGAAGCTCTAGAGCTCTTTAGTTGGCATGCCTTTGGAAGTGGTTATCATGATCGAGAATATCTTGACCTCTCAAAATGTGTAATTCGTTACTGTCAAGGCTTGCCACTAGCACTTCGAGTTGTAGGGTCTTTTCTGATTAAAAGATCCATTGCGGACTGGGAAAGCCATTTGGAGAAATTGGAAAGAAGTTCTGATGGAGATATTCAAAAAATACTCAGAATAAGCTTTGACGGCCTACCTGATCAGGAAAAGAGAGAGATATTCCTTGATATATCTTGTTTCTTTATAGGAATGGACAAGTACTATGTAACACAAATATTAAAGGGATGTGGCTTTGCTCAACCGATAGGAATCAGTGTCCTCATTGAACGGTGCCTTGTAACTGTTAGTGAGAAAAACAAGCTGATGATGCATGATTTGCTTCGAGACATGGGAAGAGAGATCGTTCGTGAAAAATCCCCCGGTCGTCCTGAAAAATTTAGTAGATTGTGGACACGTGAAGACGTAACAAATGTATTGAGCGATGAATCTGTAAGTACTTTCCCAGTAAAGTTTTAGAATGCATCATGCAAGAGAAGCATATGTATCCCATGTCTATAATAAATTAAAATATCCTTTGATTAGGCATAACCAACAAAAAATGTGCTTTGATTGCAAACACAAACTATAGGGCGTAACATGGTCCAATACTATTAATTATACCTTTTGGTTAATACATACACGGATTTTCATGTTTGTAAATCATTTTTCTAACTCGGTATCTTTTGTTAACAGGGAACTAGAAAAATTGAAGGAGTTGCTCTACATGGCTCTTACGGGACTAGATTCAGTGCACAAGCATTTACCAACATGAAAAAACTGAGGTTACTCCACCTCAGCAACTTAGAGCTCACTGGAGAGTACAAAGATTTTCCCAAAAAGTTAATATGGTTGTGCTGGCATTATTTTCCTTTAGAGTCCATACCAGATGACTTTCCTATGCAACCAAAACTAGTTGCTTTAGACCTGCGGCATAGCAAACTCAAAATAGTTTGGAAGGATTGCAAGGTATAATAATCTCAACCTAGTTGTTGTTGGTTCTTTCCTTCTGGTGCTATACATATATTATACTTCACGTTCTCTTCATTTTGGTTTAATTTCTGTATCAGAGACCTTCCTTTTGGATTTTAATTTCCATTCTAATTTTGTTTTTGTGTAACAGTTGCATCAGAATTTGAAAATCCTTAATCTCAGTTATTCCTATGAGCTAACAAAATCACCAGACTTTTCAAAAATCCCAAATCTCGAGGAATTGATATTGCAATCCTGTTCGAGTTTATCTGAGGTTCACTCATCCATCGGGGATCTTGGAAGACTTTCTTTGGTAAATCTTGAAGGCTGCTACATGCTAAGGGATCTCCCACTGAATTTCTATAATTCCAAGTCTATTGAAACTCTTCTACTTGATGGCTGTTCGCGTTTTGAAAAGTTGGCTGATGGCTTTGGGGACATGGTATCATTGACAACTCTGAAAGCAGATGAGACAGCAATAAGACAAATACCATCTTCCATATTAAAATTGAAGAAACTGAAAGCTTTACATTTATGTAATGTGATAGGGTCGCCATCAACAAATCTTTTGCCTCCTTCACTGCAAAGTTTAAGCTCTTTAAGAGAATTAGCTCTTGCAAACTGTCGTTTAACTGATGATGCATTACCTAAGGATCTCGATAGCCTAATTTCCTTAGAAAGATTAGATCTTGCACACAATGACTTTTGCAGCCTACCAAGCCTCAGTCGTCTTTCACAGCTTCATGATCTGTCTTTATATAAGTGCAGAGATCTTTGTGCAATTCCAGATTTACCAACAAATTTGAAAGTCTTACGAGCAGATGGCTGCTTTGCATTGGAAAAAATGCCAAATTTTTCAGAAATGTCAAATATAAAAGAATTGTATCTAAGAGATTCGAGCAAACTCACTGAGATTCCAGGCCTGGATAAGTCATTAAACTCCATGACAAGGATTCATATGGAAAGGCGCAATAATCTCACTGCGGATTTTAGGAAGACCATCCTACAGGTCAATCCTTCTCTCTCTCTCTCTCTCTCACACACACACACACACACATCTTTCTCTTTCTATCACATACGATAAGAATGTATTTCTTATAGAAATTTGGCTCTACATGATATAGGGATGGACTTCTTGCGGATATGGTGGCATTTTTCTCAGTGGAAATGATATTCCTGATTGGTTCGACTGTGTCAATGACGATGATATTGTGTATTTCACTGTGCCTCAAAGTGTTGGTCGTAATTTGAAAGGGTTAACTTTGTCCTTCGTTTACTCTTCAGACGAATACAACAGAATTTGCATTAGCATTAAAAACATGACCGAGGGTACTGAGCTTGACGCCAGGATCACACCCAGAGGTATTTCTTCCAGATATCCAATTAGAGGTCCAACTAGAGGTTATTATAATCTTTGGCAGGGACAGTTATCAAATGACGAGCTCAAATTGCAAGACGGTGATAAAGTCTTGATTGAAATAATAGTGGAGGAAGATTCGGTGGCGACACATTATAGAGCGAAGGCAGAGGTGAAGAAAACAGGTGTTAGTCTGGTATGGGACAAATTTATGAATGAAAATATGATTGATTACCATCTTTGTGCATATGAACGACGCCCATCTCAAAATCTGGTCAATGATGATGACATCATTCATGTCGAAGATGATATTCACATAACAAAATCACCAGACTTTTCAAAATTCCCAAATCTCGAAAAGTTGATATTGAAAGGTTGTACGTCGTTGTATAAGGTTCACTCATACATCGGGGATCTCGAAAGACTTTCTTTTGTAAATCTTGAAGGCTGCTACGGGCTAAAGGATCTCCCACTGAATTTCTATAAATCCAAGTCTATTGAAACTCTTATACTGAATGGTTGTTCAAGATTTCAAAACTTGGCCGATGGCTTAGGGGACATGGTATCATTGACAATTTTGAAAGCAGATAACACAGCCATCAGACAAATTCCAAGTCTCGCTGGTCTTTCAAAGCTCAAGGTCTTGTGTTTAAATGCATGCAGAGAACTTCTTGCAATCCCAGATTTACCAACCAATTTGTATGTTCTGAAAGCAATTGACTGCCCAAAATTGGAAACAATTCCAGATTTTTCAAAAATGTGGAATATGAGAGAATTGTATCTAAGTGATTCGTTCAAACTCACTGAGGTTCCAGGCTTGGATAAGTCATTAAACTCCATGACAGGGATTCATATGGAAGACTGCACCAATCTGACTGCCGATTTTAGGAACAACATCCTACAGGTCTCTCTCTCTCACTCACACACACACACACACAGAGGCACAACTGCAGATGCGGCCCATATAAATGATATAAGCAAGCATGTTGTTGGAATTTATGGGGAAACAAAGTGATTTTATTAGATTTGGAGGAGAATAGTACATAGCTTAGTGTAGGCTAATTGGCCACCCTTTTAGCTTATTGGCTCATTGGCCACCACACTTGGTTTAGATTAGTTTTGGGCTATTTGGCCCTTCACTTAGATTGGTGAGCTTATTGGCTCCTCAACATAGTTTTATTTGGGTAGCTCTTGGCTCCTTATAGTTTTGGAGTTCCTTTTGTTGGACTCCCTTACACTAGATTACATTCCATGCCTTTTTATAGGCTTTAATTGCCGACATACACAGCCACCAACTTGGGCTTCTTCATTTCATAGCCACATATGTGTCTTGTACTAGAATGTTCTTTGCTAGCTTGTTCTAGAATATTCTTGAATTGCCATCTACATCTTTTGAAGTCTTGACTTCTCTAGAATTGTGTAGAACACAAATGAGCATTATTTTTTCAACAAATGTATAAGACTGTCTTGCTTCTGGTGTGCAGAGATGGACTTCTTGCGGATTTGGTGGAATTTATTTGAATGGAATTTATGATATTCCTGAGTGGTTCAAAATCGTCAATCATGTGGACAATATCGTCTTCTTTGAAGTTCCTCAAAGAATCATGGGTCGTGATTTAAAGGGGTTGACTATATGCTTCGTTTACTCTTCAAACAGGCACTATTGGCATCATCCGGGATTTGAAGATTCGCAAAAAGGTCCTATTGGCATTATCGTTAGAAATCTTACCAAACAAACTGCTTTGCACACCCGGATAGCATTTGCCTCGGTAAAAACTTGGAGTGCACCTGAAGACCATTATCTTTGGCAGGGACAATTGTCAAACGATGTGCTCGGTTTGGAAGGCGGTGACCACGTATCGATTCTTGTAAGGCCTGATAATGTTGATTTTGTGAGAGTGAAGAAGACAGGGGTTCATCTAGAATGGGACAAACTCATGAAGGAAAATATGGATCATCCATATCCTGATTTCTATTATGGGTAAACAAATCGGTATTCTTGAGGGGGAGTTGATGAACTCCATTTCAAGAAATTGTTGTCACTGAGACAAATGGTAACTGTACTGAGCAAGCCATCAATGTTGATAGAGGAAGAAGAAGCCATGATGAAGCAGAGAGAAATTGCAATCTTGATTTCTGTATTTCTTAATCTTTTAAGCTACAGCCCTATTACACTTTATACAGCTATCTAACTAATTCACATGCACACCTAAATCACCCCTGAATCAGACCAACACCCCAATGCTAATTGCCAAAACTCCATCTCGTTTTTTGGGCTGTGGTCTATTACAAAGTTACAAATTTCAATAGGAAATCTACTTCAATGATTTGGTGATGAGATGACTCAAATGAGAGAGCCACGCAGAGAGCACCACCTGTCCCAAAGCCCCACATGTCAGCATAAGCAGCAACATACGCTTCACATCTCATTCACACAAGTTACATTTTTTACATTTAAGACCAAAATAGTACAAGGAGCTTCACATTTAAGACCAAACATAAATCCCAAAATATAGGAAAATCCTATGCAATCCAAATTCCATAAAACAGCCCAGTTCGACTATTCAATGGACCTACCAATACAAACAACACTTGAAAATCAAACAATTTATAGAACTTGTGTGCCTCAATTTCAATAAGAAAGTTAGGAAGATACAGGGCTTATTTGGGAGTGCTTATGGTGACATCATACATTTCTTAAGGAAGGGAATTTTCAAATATTAAGAAGACTTACCATGTTCTCATCATCAAATGTGGCGTCTATGAAGCGATTTGGAAAACCTAAAGTACAATACTCACTCAGTAACCCCCACATACCACTTGTGGAAAACTTAAAGTACAATACTCACATGATATACATGCTAAGTCTAAATATCATATTAGCCACTATATGTCAACTCATTATTTATCTAAGTCATATGCATCATATTTATGCCAATTATCTAGTGTATGTGTGACAACTAAGTTGCATGATGCTATTTCTGACCTCAAATGTGTGGATGCCATGAATGTTGAAGTGAAAGCTTTTAACAAGAATGAAACTTGAGATTTAGTCCCTTTACCAAGAGGGAAGAAAGTTGTTGGGTGCATATGGGTGTTTACTTTGAAGCATAAGGCTGACGGTTCTATTGACCGATACAAAGCCAGATTGGCAGGTGAGTGTATAACAAGAGATCTCTACCCTTAGTAATATGGGAGAATGCTATGATGATATGATTCAGGAGTCTTCGGCCGAAGCACTAGTTATGAATGAGAATGGTAATTCCAGTCATACTTGTATGAGTCATATAAGATTGGAGTTCACATTAGGGGCTTGACATGTTTTCCGTGCGCTAATGATGTAACCATGAACATTGAGTTAGAGAATGACTATATTACATTGTAATTGCAACTGAATAGGTTCTCCACCACATTCTACATTGATTTAGATAACCGTGACATGTTGCAAGATGTCACTCACAGTTTGTGGAAGCCCTGAGGATATATCATAACTATGTCCTCATAATAGGGAGAATTAAAATGGGGTTTTAATTCACAATCGATTAAGGAAGAGTTCAGATCGCCCATTGCCTCACTGATTAGAATCTAACGGAAAGATGAGAGATGAAAAATTAATTATGAGATGATTTGCAACTTCCTTCATAGTATTAGAGTGAGTGTGCCCACGTGTGAAAGCCTAATGGCCAACGTGCTCCACATTACCCAATATAAGTTGTCCACGTGTTACACTTGAAAATTTGACACATGCTGGGGTGTGTGAGAATGTAAAGGTGAAAACGTCCCACATTAGAAAGTTAAAAAATCTAGCAAGGGCTTATAAGGAGTTGGAGTACTCCTCCCATTAGTCTTGGGGTGGAACCTCAACTTCCTTTAGAGTTTAGGATTTTAGGGTTTGACGTGGGTCTGAACTCTAAACTTTAAAGCAATGTCTCATACATGTGCTCCACGTCACCAAATAGGTGTTGTCCACGTGTTATGCTTGAAAATTCATCACACATGCGAGGGCTGATCGGTGCATATTTATATATTATTTTGTACCCTTCTAGCTTATGATTTGGTTATGTTTTTGAGTTAAACTTGTGCTTTTAATCCTTTTTGTGTTTATCTTTCAATTCATTGAGTTTTAGGTAACAATGATGGCTTTGGATAGGAAATGATGCAATTCATGCATGTTAAGGCCTGATTTGGGTGAATGGAAGAAGAGCTTAAAGACAAACTAATTTTGGCTACAAACCCTTGCCAGCCCAGTTTCGTAGGTCAACTTCTTGGCTTTGGATCAGCATGCTCTGGGGTTCGGATGAGGTGAAGATCTTCATGAAACTTGTTCCAATGGGTGTCTAGTACAACATATCCAAATTTCAGCCCAATTGAACATATGTGGAGTGCTTAGCCCGTCCAACACTCAACCTTGCTCAGGATGATTTGCAGCTGCCAGCTTTTTGCCATGTGCCTCCTTTTAGCCATGTGCCTCACCCCAACTATAACTGACTTTGTACCCAACATAATGAGTGAAGTAGGGAGGTATTCCAGACAAGTTGGTACATGATGGAGCTATTAAAGAGAAAGCATGTGCATGCATGTGAAGCAAAAAGAAAGAAAAGAAATGAATTGAAGTCAATTCCAGTCTCTGTTCGGCAGCCAACTTGTAAGGCTCAAAACGCACACTTCTACTGCTCCGATGAGAATACTTTCTTCATAGAAGTTGTTCCAATGGGTGTCTAGTATAACATATCCAAATTTGAGCCCCATTGGATACATTTTGAAACCTCTGGCATTCCTACACCAAGTCTGGTTCAGAAGAACTCGTTTTTGTTCAACAACCAAAAGAAGACCACATGGGTTGGCAGCAAAAGGCAGCCACAATTGAACACCTTTGAACCCATGTGAAGAAAGCTTGAGGTGCAGCAAAAGAAGTATGGGATGAGATTGATTCCAACCACACTAACATAGGCAAGATGAAGTGTGAGTTATGGGTTGTATTAAAAGAGGAATGGTGGTGTTGGATTTCATCATATTGTTCCTCCCTCTTAGCCCTATAAATAGAGAAGCCTTCAAGCTTCAAAACACACCCCAAGGGGGGGAGCTCTCAAACACTTCTCTAGAGCTCCCTTCCCTTCTCTCCCTCAAATTCTCTTAGTTTCCTTTCAAGTTGTCAAATGTTGTAACAAAATGATTTTACTAAATTTTCCTTCAAGTTTTCAAGTTCTACTTTAATTTTATTTGTAATGTACATTCTTTCTTAAGCATTCAAGTTTAATTAGTTTCCACGTTTCAATTATGGTTTTTGTTCTTATTCATTAACTTAGCAGAAGAAGGGCAAGAGGACGGCAAAGGCAACACCTGCGCCGTCTAAACAATTGGTGGTCCCGGCACCGAAAAATAGGCCCCATGTGCCGAAGAAGGTCTATTCCGATTGCCGCCATAGGGTGTTAGAACGGGAAGCCGAACGGCAGGAATCGCCGATCAGGATCAATGAAGGGGCCTGGGAAGGAAGTCTCTAATACGAAGGATACCAGTCCTGGAGTCCACGGTAGAATCTGACCAAGAGTACATCCCTTCCCAAAATCGGTCATCATCCTACCGTTCGGCAACGCCGACGAAGTTCTCGGAGGTCAATCCTCCCAGGTCCCAGTAGCGATCAGTGCATCTAACTGCGGAGGAGATACCGGACAGGGAACCTGTCATTAGCCTCCTCCTCCAGAGGGTGCAGAAGATGAAGGATGATCGGACTCGTTCACAGGAGCCCGATTGGGGAAGGCTTCGTCCAGGGCCATTCACTGAGCGCATAAGGCACTCACGGCAGGATAGGGACGTACAACCCCTACGCATAACCCCTTACACAGGAGTGGAGGATCCACTGACACACCTTCATTCTTTCCAATCGGTTGTAGGATGCCGAGGGCTAAGTGACGAAGGACTATGCCTACTGTTCCCCTCTTCGCTCACAGAGGCGGCTCTGAATTGGTTCTACCGTTTGGAACCAGGGATGGTCGATTCCTTCGACGAGCTGAAGCAGATCTTCCTGAACCACTTCATGATTCAGACGGACAGATTGTACTCTGCCGACGACTTATATACCATCCGGCAGAGGGATGACGAACCATTGCGTGAGTATGCCGCATGGTTCAGCCATGAATACTCGAGATGTCCGGATACCGATGACAGGGCAGCCTACGGCGCCTTCAAGAGTGGCTTACGGTCCTCACACTTTCGGTATCTGGTACACAACAGCAATTGGCGTACGTACGACGAACTCATGAAGCAAGCGGCAATCCACGCCAAAGCCGAATACTTCAACTCAAGGGTCGAGCCGAACCTGTACAGCGATCCGCAGCAGTACAGGCATCACAATTCACGCCGACGGCCCAACCTGCCGGATACCTCGAGAGCCACAAGCGCAAAGACGCCGGGAGCTCTCAGAAGGGGCATTCCAAGAAAAACAAGAGCGAGTACGGCAGGGATAGCTACCGGGCGCCACTGCCAGCTCATAACCAGGGAACGGAAGTGTTCACCTTGCTCAACACCTCCTATGAAGCAGTGCTGATGAACGAAAACGAGATCATCCCAAAGCCAGCATTCCGAAAGCCTAATCGGCAGGACGGCAGGGATACAGGGAAATTCTGCCGATACCATCAGCAGAACAGCCACAATACCGAAGACTGCATAAGCTTGCGAAAGATCGTCGAGCGGTTAATACGGGAAGGCAAACTGGATCAGTACATAGCCAGGCCGCAGCAGGCGTCAGTACCGAACGCCAATCGACAAATCAACATGACCAGCACGATCAGTGGAGGCCCAACCCTCGCCGGGGCATCCAACCGGTCAATGAAGCAGTATGTCAGGGCGGCACAATACCCCCAAGTCCTCGGCGTAGAAAGTAGCCGGCACACCAAGATGCCGAAGGTCAGGTGGGAACCCATCACCTTCTCCGAGGAAGAGGAGGAGGGGATTATCTACCCACAAGACGACCCTATGATCATCCGAGCCGAGATTGCCGAATTCGATGTCGGACGAATTCTGATCGACACCGGCAGTTCGGTAAACGTCATCTTCGTCGATGCGTTTAAAGAACTCGGAATATATGACAGCCAGGTCAACCGGTGTCCATCGATGCCTGAAAAGTGGAGCCACAGGTTAGTACCGAGCGATAAACAACAACAAAAAAAAGAAAAAAAAGAAATGGGACAACGGAAGGGAAGAATTACCGTGGCTTGGAGACGGAAGGCGCGCCCCGCCTCTTCCCGCATGGCCTTCTTCGGCAGCTCGTCTATCTCAGACAAGTCCATCTGCAAACCCACGATCATATGGTTCGCAAACTGGACCGTCTTGGATGGACAGGCAAGCGTGACCTCTTCGGTAGGCCCCTCCTCGTCCTCGGCCGCGAAGACGGCCCTCGGTGGGTCAGCAAGCCGCACCCTTTTGGGGGTGGAGGCTGCATCCAGGTCTACCGTCATTGGCCGTTTCCCGGACGCCTTGGAAGAAGCGGCATCGGCACCCCGGCCCGGGCTGAGTACCGGCTCGTTAACCGGCACCCTTCTGCCCACGGGCTCGGCATGGCGCTGCCTCTGCCGTTCGCAAAGGGGTTGCTCCTCGAGGTCTGCCTGCGCGACCCTCTCGGCAGAAGCCTCTGGCTGCCGTTTCTGTTTTTTCCCCTTTGCGGCCACCTGGAGGCGCCGCTTCGAGGTCTCAGACATCTTCTTGACCTCGGCAGTCTTTCTAGCCTCAGACACTACAAGAACGGAACGGTGGAGTTAGCCGAAGAAATAAATAAATAAATAAAAGGAGAAAGAAAGAAGGAAAATTTGAAGTGAACTTACTCTCGGCAGGGTTCGCGAGGCGGGCTCTGATGAGGTTCTCGGTGAAGAGAAACTGTGGATATCACCTGTCACCGGCAGGAACTTTCAACCTCACCTTGTCTATCTGTCGAAGCTCTGATTGGGTTGCCGTGGGCTGCTTCAGTTTGCCTCCAAAAATAACAAAGTCAGATTAGTCCACTAAACAAGAAATGTGCCCTACCGATCGGCATGGTAGCAACCTACCGGCAATCTGGAAAGTGGTGGGGATATGAAAGTGAACGGGTACTCCCGAGGGCGACTCCCAATCGCCAGAAAGTAGCACCCGCCGATTCCTCCAGGACTTCTAAGAAGTCGGCACGGCAGCTAGAAAATGGCCCTTTTCGGAAGCCTTGAGATAGTTCGCCTGAACCCAGCCACCATGATCGGTACTCTTGGACTTAGTGATGCTGTATAGGTGGGAGAACTGCTCGTAAGAAGGCCCCTCCTCATCGGCAAGTCCGAATGCCGTTACGACTCCCATCAGGACGGCCCAGAAGTTCGGATTGAACTGCCTAGGGGCATACCCAATCTGAGCCAGAATCCTTTGAACTGGAGGCTGCAACGGCAGCCTAACGCCCTGCTGAAGGACGTCAGTGAAGAACGCAACCTCGCCATCCTTGGGGTTGCTTAGGGACTCGGTAGGGCCTGGGATCCTCATCCCTACCGAATGGGGGATCATGTACTCCGCCCTAATCTTCGCCAGCTCACGGTAGGTCAGCTTATTGGGCGGCAAGTAGTCTACGTCGAACAGCTGCTCCCTTGCTACCCCCATCGGTACCATTGGGTTCCCGATGTTTACTATCGTCACCCTCGGCATGGGAATTGGCTCGGAAGACTCTCCACGACCAGAAGTGGAAGCCTCCGGACAGTGACTGGAATCCGAGCGTCCTCTCGAGGCTCGGAATGTAGGCCCAAGCCAATCTGCCGACCGTCACTATACACGATTGTCAACGGTAAGGGCTGACTCGTCATAAGCCCTTTACCGATTTCATGAGTGGGCGCAGGTCTAAGCCCCTCGCCAACCACTTCCACCTCTGAACCACTATCGCTATCGGTATTTTGGCCCGACTCCTCACTATCGGTAGCCCTTCCCCTATCTAGAGACTCGTTCTCGAACGCGTTGGGCTCACTCTCGAATCCTGACTCGCTATCAGACATCTACAAAAAAAAAAACACAACGGAAGGAAACTAAGGGCCATACAGGGGACTACCCTACCGATGCCTACGTCTCTACCTATGGTAACTAGACTACCGAACCACACCCCACTTGTATAAAGTTCTAGTCTAGTTCAAACCAAGGAAGGACGTACGCATAAGGAAAGGAAAGGAAAGGAGAAGTTACCGAACGGTACCTTATATGAACTGGGGTGTGAGGATGAAAATCGTTCTGATCACCGTTCGCTCCACCAGAAATCGCCTTGCCTCCCGAATCAACTCGCCGGAAATCGCCTATGTTACCTTTTGCTCTCGCCGAAAATCGCATGGACAGAGCTATCGCTTCACTCACAAATGCAAAGTGAGTTTCGCCTCAGAGACCCCCCTATTTATACGGCGAAAGTTGCAACGGTACGCCTCGAGAAACCAAACGGCGCATTAATGGCGCCGCTCCGCGTGATTAGACGTACCACGTGTCGTGCGCTGAGCGGAACCTCTGACAGCACGATGGGTGCAGAAGACGAAGCGTCATTATGTCCTATCACTGCCCCTCCCTGTGCATAGGGTCGCAAGAGAAAAGATCAAACTCGCCCAGGTTAACAAGCAATCGGCAAGCCTCCCTCGGAACCCCGTAACGTACCAAATGCTGCCGAACGGTAACCCTCAAAGTGGTGACTCTTGAGTTCCCAGACAAGTTTTCTGAACGAATCGGCACCGAGATAGAGCCCCAGCATGCCTCCTTGATAACCTACCGAACGGTAGGACAACCTAGCGGCTGCCGAAGAATAAACAAGTCCCCGACCGAGAAATCTCGCTCGAGAACTTGGGGGACTCCTGTTTACACCCAAAATAAGCAGCCAATAAGGGCAGGACACGTGGAGGAAATTGGGCTTGGTCAGGGGCGCCCTCGGCACTCTACCTGCCGATCTCTCCATTAGGGCAACGCCCTCTCCTGGGACACGTGGCACGCTCCCAAGCGACGTCCACAGTCTCACATCGAAATTATCAACAAAATGCACACCTCCCAAGGCCTATAAAAGGAGGCCAACAATATCAAAATAGAGGTAATCAGAACTTACGGCATACAAGCCTATTGATCTGTCAGTTGAACTTTCTATTCCCGAACTTACTTAAGCATCGGAGAGCCTTCGGCCGGTACCACACCGGTGCCTTGGATCTTACCGAGCGTTCTCTCATTTTGCAGATCACGCTCCCTACCGAGGCCTCAAGCATACCGAAGGCATAAAATTACTAAGTTGACCCTCAAAGTCAGAGAACCATTTTTTGGCGTCAACACCACTAGACCAACATATATTTATATTAACAACAGAACTCAACTTGTCAACCATTACATGTAAATTTGAAGTATCCCATATTACTTTTTTATAATTGGAATATTAAACATAAGAGCTGAGGGTAATATTTTGACTTCCACGACGGGTGCAATTATGTTCTATCCAAGCTTATGCCAAATTCAAACGAAAAAAAAAGAGAGACAGAGATCATGTATGGGACTGGATAATTCTCTTGTAAACAAAAACTGTTTATTTCTCCAAACTGCAGAATCAATATTCCAAGCAATGGGTATTTGCATTTGCTCACGAGCTTCCCATGCCTCGGCAACCATTGGATGCGGCTCGAACGAGTTGCGAGCGGAGGAAGCGGGAGTGGAGGTTGATCTTCTCCATTGTATGAAGGAGATGGTGGAAATTGATCACCCGGTGGTGGAAAGTTCTGCCTTTTTTCAATCGGAGGATGGTGTTGGTTGTTTGGTTTTTTTTTAAACTTATTTTTAATAATCAAAATAGTGTTTTGATGATACAATTATAATTTTTAAATCAGTTTCTTCTCTCAACCCTTAGATCTAATCTAAGGGTGGGTGACCACAGTTTTCTTGGACCACAGGGGTCCAGGAGAACGGGATTTTTCACATGGAAACGTGTAGGAAAATAAAAACAGAGAGAGAGAAGGAGAGGAAAAATTACAGCTGCAGTAATTAAGAGGATGAAGATTAATTGGATAAATATTGACTTTTACAGCGAGTTAACTGTTAATTGGGAAATTAATTATTACTAATTTACTACGGTTGTTAGGTTACTAATTGAGTGAATGGATTTGGAGGATGACTTTTTACCGGAAAAAATCATATTAAGACCAAAAAAAAAAATCTGTAAACAAAAGTATGCAATAAAATAGAAAATCTTTTTGAACCAAACAAAGAGTTACAATTGCGAAACCAGCAACAACAGTCTCTGACAGATTCAGCTGCAGGGAAAATTAAACAAATGTAATGTTTTGTGTGTATAGATAATGATAATTAAATAAAGAAGGGAAGAGAGAGAGTGAGTTGACCGTGAATAGCCGGTGAGAGAGCAGGAGCGATTTGCTGACATGGACAAAACGACACAGTTCTGTCATTGTATGTATGACCCCAACATTGGATTTTCCGTTCGTTGGTGTTCTCTTTCTCCTCCACTGCTTGTACGTAAGTCATTGGGGAAAAAATTATTTTTGATCCCTATAGTATGCCGGTTATATCACTTTGGTCTCTATA